TTATTGCAGTAAATGGTTTGAACCCGGGGGTAACATGTGAAGGTGTAGTCTGATCGTCCGGGTGAGTGTAGTCCTGAGAAGGACTGTTGTCGGTGGCAGTGACTGACGTTTCGACAACCTGTGCGGAAGTCATCATCAGAGTCAACTGATGATGACTTCCGCACAGGTTCAGAGTCAACTGATGATGACTTGACTCTGATGATGACTTCCGCACAGGTTGTCGAAACGTCAGTCACTGCCACCGACAACAGTCCTTCTCAGGACTACACTCACCCGGACGATCAGACTACACCTTCACATGTTACCCCCGGGTTCAAACCATTTACTGCAATAAGAAACTCTGTTTTTATGTCATCAATCATTAGGCGATTGGATATAAACCAAGAGCGCACTTCAGCGATACAGCTCTCCAGGGCCGAGTTGTTCGAAGGCTGATTAGCACTAACCCAACGTTAAATTGTAATCAGGGTTTCTTTAATCCTTTGTTCAAAGTCTTTTTTGGGATAATATTCCTTACACTTTTTAAAGCATCCAATCACCAAGTTGTAGACAAAAAGAATTCTGAATTTCTTTTTAAAGCTTTCAGATCTGAAATCAGATTTTACAGTAACCCTGGGTTATCTTAACACAGCTTTGAACAACCCGGCCCTGGATTCTGTAAGATCGACATTTGCTCTTGATCTGTTATAGCTACCGCTGTAGATCAGGTAGATTATCCTTCACTTGAGTTCTTTTTCTTTTCGCCATCGCAAGATTTCATATCGTTTGAATATTTCTTTAAGATGTGAAGTGAAGCAACCTTTACTCCTCCGAAAATCGTCTTCTTTATCTAAGTTTTCTGATCATGAGCAAATGTCGATCTTATAGAATCCAGATTTTTAAATGCGCGAGAACGCGCTAAACTCACGCAAGCTATTGCATGTAAACAAGTGCGGTGACCCCTTCTTTTTATTGTTCCAATATGGTAATAATGTCGAAAGGAATCATCTGAAAAAAAACTAGAAAATTCTACGGAAGTGGAAGAAGACTTTGAAACTTAAAGGAAAATACTATGATATAGCCAGAAGTCGTGTGTAGGATTTTTAAGATAAGCCCGGGAGGCTGTCTTTGACAGCAGTTTAAAGATTTTCTTAGCAGTAAACGATTGTAAACATCAGATTGTAGGCGCTCGCGCGAGCACACGCAATTGTCAGCGGTAGCTATAACAGATCATCAGCAAATGTCGATCTTATAGAATCCAGGGCCGGGTTGTTCGAAGCTGTGTTAAGATAACCCAGGGTTACTGTAAAATCTGATTTCAGATCTGAAAGCTTTAAAAGGAAATTCAGTGGAATTCTTTTTGTCTACAACTTGGTGATTGGATGCTCTAAAAAGTGTAAGGAATATTAACCCAAAAATGATTTTTGAACAAAGGATTAAAGAAACCTTGATTAGAATTTAACCTTGGGTTAGTGCGAATCAGCCTTCGAACAACTGGGCCCAGATTTTTAAATGCGCGAGAACGCGCGTGGAAATTGCTAAACTCGCGAAAGCTATTGCATGAAAACAATTCCGGTGACCCCATTTTTTTTATTGTTCCAATATGACAACAACGTCGAAAGGAATCATCAGAAAAAAAAAAGAAAATTCTACGGAAGGAAATTTGCGATGTTTGAAAATTGCCTTTTTTCTATATTTTCTGAAATTCCGCTCCGTAGAATTTTTAAAAAATCTTTGTGTATTTTCCTTTTCAAGTGCCAAAAGCAATCACTGAAAAAAATCATAAGGTTACCCCATTTTTTTTATTGTTCCAATATGACAACAACGTCGAAAGGAATCATCAGAAAAAAAAAAGACAATTCTACGGAAGGAAATTTGCGATGTTTGAAAATTGCCTTTTTTCTATATTTTCTGAAAATCCGCTCCGTAGAATTTTTTAAAAATCTTTGTGTATTTTCCTTTTCAAGTGCCAAAAGCAATCACTGAAAAAAATCATAAGGTTACCGGGTTAGTTTTAGAATTATTTAAGCCACAAGCTAAGAAATGCGTCTGAATAAGCCTCTAAAAGCGTTGCCATGGAAACTGCTAGTGACGAAATTACACCTATTTTTGGATAACCAATAATTATATAATTCAACCCCGTAAAAGTGTTCAACTGGCCTTGGTCAGTGTTTCCGTTGTATTCTTTCAAAGTTACAAACCATCAAAAAGATGAAAACCGGTACGAGCCACCTTAAGCTTGATATTTTCCTCCATTTCGGATGCATTTGGCTTTATATAAACTTGATAACGGCGCTTTTCAAGAAACAAACATTACTTCTGTGTGTAAAAATGCACAATGTCCTTTTAATCATTTGATTACACAATGAATTTATTTAGAAAAATTAACAGGATCATTGACTTTTGAGAAATTTGTCATTACATATCTGAATCACCTTTATTTCTTCGTTCTGTTGCAATTTTATCGTATCCGTTTCTTTTCCCTTCATGTATATTTCGGACTGCTGTGAGCGAAAATGATCCTTGTTCATTCCCCTTCTGTAGGGGTAAAAATAAATGATGCAAGGTTAGCAAAAATAGATTAATCAAAGAAATGTATGGAAAAAAATTAATTGATGAGTTAGATTTAAAGCTAAGCATCCAAGTGCAATATAAATCCTACAAGGAGGCCAAGGAAAAGGCTCCCTTTCTAGATCGCTACCTATGGACTACCGACATGTGAAGATAACCTCGTGCGATATCTCCTGTAATTCAGCAACTTTGGTAATGAAAGCACCAACTTTATTGCTGCACATTAAATCAGTTGGGCTCGCGCATTGCGAATTTAAACTCGAAAGTCTCTTACTTTCTCCCTCTCTACCCAGATTTCTCCCTTCTTTCCAGGCTCCTACTAAGAACGACTGTGCAGGATTTAAAGTGAGTTGATAAAGTAAAACACTGGTACGCAACTGTGAGGGTTGCGTGGGCAGTCTGTTATTGGTCGAAAACCATCGTTTTTTGTACGGTCAACACAAAGCTATCAGAAGCATTATGGAAAAAAAATGATTTAACCCTTGAGAGCGGATTGCTGCTGCTTTTCAAAGCAACCTGGAATACATGCGAATCGCTTTCTTTTAACTCATGGCTCACAAAACATTTCTTGAGTTCTCCTAACTTTCTAAGTTTGTCTTCACGAAACAAAACCGAAAAAGAGCGGGCGAATTCTATAGCTTGTAACTTCGTGAATTTCTGTTATTTGGTCCCAACACGGAAGACATGAAGAAAAAAAAAATCCAATTGATTTATTGTTCTGTAGTGCCTGGACGCCTGATTTTTGACTCTGTTTTTATCACCCTAGCTCGAGCGGCAGCTGTTCTTTGAGCGAATAGAAAATAATAAGAAAGTAGCTGTTCTCTGAGCGAATAGAAAATAATATAAGGAATATATATTTGCAAAAAGACGAGAAACGTTGGCGCAATAGGAATAAAAACTCACATAAATAGTGTCTTTTTTAATTAAAATTATTTGGTTTAAAACGAATGCAATTCTTCGAAACAGAATTTAGGATTGAAAATGTCTATCAAAACATTATCTCGCATTTATGTAAAGGAAGTAAAATGATATCATTGAGAGTTTTTAAAAATCAATTAAACGTTATAACAAAAAATTAAATATTTTCATGGACTGAAATCTTGAACTAAGTAGTCTTGTATTTTTTAATGTTTGATTATGTTCGTTTTTGAACTTATCCAAATGGGTAGGAGGAAATCTTAAAATTAGATTTGAATTGAAGCAGATTGTTTTACCTTATAATTATAACAGCTTTTTTCTTTTTCGCACGGTTGTCTTAGTAGCACACAACTTAACTCTATCTAAAAGAAATGAGACTTCATCGTGAGAGAGGTTGCCGACCACTCTTTCAGATTTCTGGAAAAAGTATTTTGTTTCTTCACTCGTATTCTTCATTTGCAACACTGAATGACGGCAAAAGGTCTTCCAAATTGGTAATATTGATTGATAGCATTTGGCCTCTCTTGAATATTTAAGAGATTTAGCCTTAATACTTGATTGTGAGTGTAGCGAACAGTAAACTATTAAATTTTGCTCTATTCACGGTCTTCTCAAATGTTTCAACAATACCCGAATTCATCCTTCTTTTCGAGTTCAGAGCGCGCTTAAAATGAAAGGAAACGTCGGTTTCTGTAATCGCCTTGCAAATAGGAGAGACGCCTTAGAAAAAGCGAAGATTATGAAGGTACCTTAAGAAATTCCTTGCGATTTTACCTAAGAAACCAAGAAAGGAAAATTTGTAGCAATTTTCCTACCTTAGATAATTTCATGTGCTTCTTTAAACAGTTGACCAACTTTTTAATGCGAGCCAGTCACACTCGGAAAAGTGTCAAAAGGGCCCGCCCTATATTTATTCAATGATTATTCGAAATGCGCTTATTGCTTGCGACAAAATGGAAAGAAGGGAAATTTCGATTATGTAATTTCATTTTTAATCCTTTAAGTGTTTTGAAGATGAATTTTAATTCAATCTAATTCCCAGAACGCTTTCAGAGCAGAGAGAGCTGACCCTGTTGAATCAGCAGTACTTAGATTTTATTCACTGCATTCATAGAAGCTAACTGTGATTACTCCAGGTAGTCCCTCGGCGTAGGTTGGAAAACATGAAAATAAAATAAAACGATCGATTTTAACTACAATTCCTGAAAATAGCGAAGAAATTAAGTTTAAAATTCAAATCAAACAGGCTGGTTTTTAGTAAAAAATTGTTTTGCACCTGCTCTGAAATTCATATTGTTACCAGAGTGGTTTCAGAAGTACGGAAAATCGCGACAAAACAGGTAGATACATGTTGCAGAAGAGCAAAAAAAGTGTCTGCATAACAGTTTGATTTAGTTTTTTCTTTTTACATATTAATCTACTTACTTAGTTAGTATCTGTAGAATCTATGGAAGGATCTTGTGTCGTGCACCGGGCCTTCTGAATAGCGGTCTGGTTTTCTGCTTCTAAAAGGCAATCTGTTTGATCCCTTTGCTCTGTTAGCACTCGGCTTGTTCACGTTTGTTGCACTCGGTTTGGCAGGTTTTCTTGGCTTGACGGGCTTGTATTGACTTTTTAACACTGATAATACCTGTTGGCTGTCCTCGACCATGAAGCAAGTTATAAAAAAGCTAATAAGAAGTATCGTGGTCGTTGTCTTCGTATTCATTGTGATCCTGTTTCGATTCGCAGCGATCCTATTTTTCCAATGAGATCGTACTGTATTACTACTGACCATACGACAAAACGCAGGCTTTATAACGCTTTTGAAAACTACCTCCTACACTCGCTTTTCTTTAAAAGTAAAATAAACCGGAAGGAATCGAGGACAAAAGATCGATTTACGTCTCTTTTCTTAAACCAATTTTTTTTTTTTAAAAAAAAAAAACCTTGCAAGCCATCCGTAAAAGGGCACAAAGAAAATTATAGATTTCTTGATAAGCTTCTAGTCGTTCCTCACGTAATCTACGCCTATTGTTAAAATTTCATCATGGTTAGTATATGCCCGTAAGGGAAAAACAGGCCCTGGTTTCCGCGGCGACACGTCGGCGAGCAAATATTATTTATTATGGAATATCGTAAATTATCCCAAGGAAGAAATGACTAATGAGATTAAAGATAATACAGAGAAACCTTCGAAGACAGATATTGAGGTTTTTGAAAATCCGCTCATTAACCACAATGCGAGATATAGACTGGGTAAATAAGGAAATGGGTGAAAATTAAGTGTTTTGGGGGCCTACCATTGACGTATCCACTTTCTAATTGTAAGCACGTGTTGTTTTCCCTGCATCTATATCAATAAGTAGTTAAGGATGTTTTCAATTATGTCTAGAGCTTTCGTCAACGTTACCATCCGGTTTTAAGAAAAGAGGAAATTTTTTAGCATTATTTCTTTATTACTGTCATGAAAATGCCATTTTCATGACTAAATTCAGATTTAAGTTTCGTGATAATCCGTTAACCCCTGCAATTATTCTATTTGAGAGGTAGGTAAAATCCATTTGACCCTTTATAATTTTGATTATTGAAATGAAATTACTCGAGGTTTTCAAATGTTCAAATTGACAATGACAGAGAACTGAAAATTTTTCCAATGCATTAAACCAAGAATGGTTGTGGAACATACATTTATCCACAGTGTAAAAAATGTACAATTCAAAATTAAGGTTTGTCAATGAACTCCATTTTTTCTTTGGACTCCAGTCGTTCCTTCAAACATGGAATAAGCAAAATTGGATTGATCTTCAAAATGGTATCTCAAATTATGAATAAAATAGGCAAATTGACCAGAGAATTTCACCTGAAAATTTGCCCTTTACCCACGGGGTAAAGGGCAAATATCTTGGCTGTTTATAAGCTTCCCTTTTCGAAAATCAATTTTCTGCTAAGCGATTTTTGTTTTTGCTTTCTTAATTTTCGGTAAGACACTAAGTTGATAGATCCTCCCATTTCTGGTATTTTCTCATTAGTTGAAATTTTGTCAAAGGAGCCGACACCACTGTGTAATAAAAAGAAGATTATCTGCTTTGTGTGACAAACAGGCTTCTTAAAACTCGCCGAAACAATGTCTTGTCGTATCTTGATGAAACATTTACTTATTATGTTTACCATTTCTGCCTAATCACTTTAATTTACTCAGGGAATTAATATTGGGGTTTCTTAGCTCAGGTCAACCAACATCAAACTTGCTCACGTTCAAAATTTAAAAAAAAAAACAACAACAGAAGCACTCTTTTTTTCGACACTCTTATTGTATTTGAAAAGGTCACCTAAGCAGTCTGATTAAGATATTTTTCACCTTAGATTTTTGAAAACGATAATTGTTTCAAACTCTTTTTTTTTCAACCAACGGAGAATCCTCAGTGCCTTAAAAGACTCAAATAATGAAATTTTCTCGAAAACACCCAGGTTCCACTGTTTTCTCAGTGAAATGATAAGCCAGATATTTGTGGAGAGCACTTTAAAAAGTTTTCTAAACACCACTGGAATTGAGACTTTGTTCGTAGCCGTCGCATAAGGCAAAGAGAGTCTATCGGTCTTGTACTTTTTAAAACTATAAATACAGTCAGACACTTTAAGTTTTCCCATTTCTGATCAAAATTTCCAGAATGTTCGTAAGACCGATTCGGATTCAAAGCGTCTACGAGCAATAATCATAATGAGTCTATTATTTCAGTTGCAAGTGAAGGAAAGTTTCAGTTTTTGCTAGATATTCAAAATAGCCGAATAAAAAGAAAAAATTGCTATAGAAAGGGAGTGAAATAAAGAAAATTCAAAAGCGTCGCTGAGAGAGAATCTTTTCACAGTAAGGATGGACGCACAAATTTGCTCGAGGTGACTTGTTATCATCATGCCTCGACAAGCATGTGCGTTCAAACAAAGATTCACAACCCACTTTTTTTTAATTAAGTAAGTCAGCATGACTCACACAACAAAGATAGTGGAAAAATTAATTCACATGGAATGTTTAATTCACATCAGAACCTCTCACTCTTCACGTATCATCTAGATCATTTTTTCAAGGTGCCTTACTGGATTGACTTGGGTGATCGCATATACTTTGTGACAGCTTGTCTAAAGGCCCGTAGAAATTGCTGATTACAGATCCTTACCTTTGATCAGAGGTCTACTTCATCGAAATTGAGCTGAGCATGGGTCCCTAAACATGGGAATAGACTGATATTTTTCTTAATAATCAACCAAACTGAGTACATATGCTATTGGCAAAGTTCTGTTTGTTTTGAAATTCAAAATAAAATATTAGTGAATAAAGGCTGATAGTTTCGAAAGAAACTGTTTGGGGCTGCGTCGGTGGGAGTAACGAAATAATTTGGATATATCAACAAAGTTGAAATGGTAAATTGGCCACCGTAATGATTACAAAAGCTGACGTTAGCCCTTCGTCGGAGCGAATGGCGAAGGGCTAACGCTCGAAACGTCAGCTTTTGTAATCATTACGGTGGCCAATTTACCATTTCAACTTTGTTCATATATCTAAAATATTAGTGTCGAGGCACATCTGGACATGGGAGCCATGTTACCTCAGCCATAAAAGATTTTCTAGACGTCAGCGTGAAGTGCATTCCACGAGTACTTTTTATAACAATACTACAAGACTATAGAAGAAAACTAATTGTTTAGCATAAAGAGATAAGGATGAACATTCAGTTTACAACGACAACGGGCAAATTTAACCATCAACAGAGGAAAAACTATACTCAAGGTGTAGAAAAAAAATTATTTATCACAAGTCTCACACTTTTTCTTGTTCGATCACCACTAAAAAAAGAATGCAGCAGAGAGAGAAAAATACAAAACCCAGTCCCGAGGGCCCTTCTTTCACGAATCTTTGTCGAAATCCCTTCCTAGATTCATAGGTATAATGTTCTATTTGGGCACTTGAAGACTGAGTTAGTGAAAATGTTGTTGTTCCCACTTATCTCTCTCTCTTTTTTATCATTACTTATAAGACCTTATTTTGAGGAAGTTTGTGCTTATTTCTAACCACTTCTGATCAGGACGCGGAAAAGAGAAGGAAGTGAGTGATATCACCACAAATACAATAAGTTTCTTGATTGTCTTGACACCCTCGGGAAAACAACTTATGCTGAAGGTTTTGATTAAATAAGATATAATGTTATCATCGACGTCAACAGGTTTGTCATTTGTAACTCCTGCATCGTCCAAAACGATTTTTCACAAAACAAAACTGACGCAACAGCACCTCGCTATCTCGAAATGCCGCGGGATCAGACGCACGAGCTAACTGAAACATGCACTTCAAAAGAGAGTGCTTTAAATTAGAGCAGGAATTTCTGAGAGATTGAGCTGACGTTCGCGAGATTCTTCTTAACATAAAACCATCGGCTCTGCCTTTGTCTGAGTGATTTAGCGACTTACACCGTTTTCTTTCATTCACAGTACGTTTAACGTCTCAATAATAATATTCCAACCCTTAAGCAAATGCTAAAACTCCTGGCAATTCTATTGAGGTCAACACCTTTTCTTATTCATTTCGTATCGATTGTAAATACATTGCACAGATTGATAAGTTTTGTAGGCGTGCTTTGCGATATGGATATACCTCCAAGTACACCCCAATGACCAACTACACGTTTCAAGAGATAGGCAGTTATGGAACAACATCATAACCGATGCAGCCCATTCTCTTTATGACTTTCTTCCTCCACAAAGATGACGCTTTTAAGAAGCAGGGGCCATGATTTTACCTTGCCACGTGTGAGAACCGAGAGCTTCAAGCGATGCTTTATTAATAGATGCCTATTTAATTTTGTCTAAGTCTATTTTAAATGTATAGTAGTTTTGAATAGTAGCATAGAATATTATTCTCATTGTAAACTCACACGTTTGTCTGTGGGGATGTTTTTTAATAACGAATGAATGAATAAAGATCTATTGTTAGATTAATTTTTGGCTAATCGTGTTGAGCGAACATGATAAAACGATATTTCGTCATAATGGTCATAGCAGATAGAAACAAAGCCAAAAGGTTGAAAGATATTGGTTCCGGAAACAGGACGGAGACAAGCCATCAACCAAAATGAGACGCAAATTCGAATTAATAATGAGCAGGCCACGTGTTGTTACCTTTTGTTTGAACATTTATTTTAAAAAAAAAAAAGGAATTTCTTGTTCTAGTGTTGGGAGGCCTGTGCCTCCCATAAGGCATGGCGGGCAGAAAAACACATGGAACGAATGAGTCGGACACCAGTTTGTTGTTGTAGCTTTTCATTTAACCTTACTGTGGATTCCCATAAGCTCCTGCATATTCGAATCATAAAACTGATCTCGATCGTTTTGAGCTTAGAAATTAATAATGAATTAGCGACTACACCACGCGCACTCTTTAATCAAATTTCTAATCTAAATATATGGAAAACGAGATGAATCACAACTCAGTGTGTTCCCTTGGAAAATCTTTGAGGGATTATCAAGTTTTCTTGCGTTACCGGTGCAGTGCTCCATCAACTGAGCTAACAAGCCAACTGGGAACTGGTCAATAAATTAATGTTGGTCAACTTCTTCAATGGCAAGCTATCTGTGATTGAAATTAAAACTTATTAATGTGCAGATTTCGGCCAATAAACGCAATGTACGATAAAATTAGTTAAATCGGTTTACATGGAGGGATTAGCGTCTAGTGGCAAACGTCAGTCGTGTCCTGCCATAGAAAAGGCGATCAGGAATCAGAAGTGCGCCAGTGTTGGCCACTCGGTGCAGACTTAAGTTAGGCTTTTAAAAGAATATGTTTTTCAGGGGGTAGTATGTTAAAGCCCCATTTTCGTTTGAAAACACAAACATTTTGACACCTAACTAAAACCTCGTAGACCCTTTTAAGCACTTTTTTGAAGTAAATTCATTTGGAAATGAATCGTTTTGATACCACTTTCGGCTTTCCGTGAATGATTAGCAGTCTCTCGAAGGTTTTAAAAACCAGTTCAGTAGCATCATCACCATTTCAGAGCATTTTTTCTGAATGAAAACGTATCATGCTGGACAACTGAAACTAATAGATGAACGCAAGACGAAAAAATCTTTTGCGGATGGAAATAATTTGCTTTATATCTGTTACTCCGTATACATTCCAAGGTTTCTACGAGTTTTCCTCAAATATTCCGACCTCTTTTAATTTTCATTACACACATCTGAGGCTGTCGTCCTTTTCCAACGGCAAACCGTCTAAAATGACTCGAAGTATAAAAAAGAATGGCTCAGCACTGACGTTTCGCACTCGACCGCTATGGTACATAATACATGGAATACATGACGTATGATATGCGCTGTGACTTATGCATTAGTTAACGAGTTCAATATTTTTCGTAGTCAGAGCATCATTTGTGGTTTTCACTGGAGTTTTAATATGTCTTGACGGAAAGCAACCGTCTTTCAAAATTTTTGTAGATTTCGCTACAATTCTGTAAGATGGAAAGGGGTCTAAGGGGTCTGAGAGCGCCTTGCAACTACTTGGAATACGGAAATCAGTTTGATCTGTGGTGAAATTGAAACAGACAAACTGAGGTAAAAGGTAAGAATCTCATCTGAATGAAGGGGTTTATTTTTTGTTTTGTTTTAGCTTTCTGGCGGCTAAAATAACAATGTACTGTTTTACGATGTTGTTTTTACAAAGAGGCGAAAAGTTTAAATCGACAACTTGAACTTGACTCGTGACCCGGTCTCGGGTCTCGTGCAAAGGCGATCTTTGCATTATATTTGTTCGCACGGCGCAGCTAAGCAGTTAACCTTATTTTGTACCCCTCGCAAATATGCTATCAAATTCATATTATTTCCGATGTTTGTGAGAGGTGGTAAATGCAAACTTTGGACAGCACATAAGTTTGCTTACATAAGCAAGTGTGTTCAAACTGTTAACTTTGAACCAATTTGCTGTGGTTTGCAAATGCTGCCAAATTATTGTAATTGAACCCCCTTGCTAAGATAGCAAATATTTTGTAAATGTGTGCAAAGTATCAACAATGAACAGGTTTAATTCGGTTTGTGTATGTGGTCCAAATATAAGTATGCCTCTGGGTTCGCACGACTTTGGAATATGATCAAATGTTTGATATTGAATAAGTTTGCTCTGGGCATGCCATGTGGTGAAAGCATCGATATTTATTCAAATCAAATTCACTCTACATTGTGAATCTATTTGAGTCTTCTATCTAGAGCCATGCGTTGGGAATGCTATTCGATGATTGCTTTAGAGGCCTCCATACGCTTGAAAAACCATTCGTTGCTGATCTTCGGTACCATTTTGCAGATTGCTTTCACGTGGGACTTATGATGATTGAAAACGAACTTTGGTAGCGTGGTTGAGCTGCTGTGTCGACGAGCATACTCATCTACGGATTGTCGACTCATGTAGTTAGATCTCAAACAAATCAGTTCTTCTGAGCCGCTTCGAGTGACTTTGGAAACTGAACTGTGATTCAACACTGATTCCAACACGTAAACTCTGAAGAAGCATAAAAGCTTCATGAGTCTTTCTTTCAGCTTTCTTGGTAACCGGTTAGGTCGCTCGAGAGTCATTTCTCCCGATGCCATCTTGCCCATGGATTACATGAGCTGGGTTGACTGTTTGCTAAAATGGCATTATATGGGGCAGGCCGGCCCAATTAGTCAACCCCTTAGGGGATAATTGGAAGGCCCAAAAAAGACCCCTAAAGTGGCCTCAATTATTATTTCGCTAAGATTTCTAGGAAAGGTAACTAGATCAAGCACATTTAAATCCAATTACTTTAATATACAATTTTATTTCAAATACAGTTAAGCAGCCTCCCTCGGGGAACTGGCTGGTGGTCGCTGATAGGTGGTTTGCAACCAACCTCTAGAGACACCATGTTGAAAGGAACAAATGCTGGTGGACGAACAAAAAGAACCAGTGAAATATCTATTGTTAACGTCCACCAACATGGCGGCAACGATGTAACGTGCAAACTACTAAATGTGATGGAAAAAAATAAAAAAAGGGTTGCAAACAAATTGCTTTGCCTCGTGTTTACTTGTATTTGCATTAATACTAAATATGTCACTTTTGCACAGATAGCAAATGCTTGACAAATGTATTTAAAAGTTCCGCAAAGTTCAACTTGGCAGCTGAAATTGCAAGGTAAATTTTATTCTAATATTATATGTAGTACGCTACATTTGCAAGCAAATTCGTCAGGAACAAATGTACGAGTTTACCTTTACATTACGGCTAGTGCAAATCTAGTTCAAATTTAGAGCCCCAAATTTGCACCACATTTGTACGCCTGGGAAATCCATTTTTTCGTCCAGTGCCAAACTCTCGACCACACTACCTACTTCCCACATAAACGGTAGTTACAACAGGTGTGAAAATAACAGGGGCGAAGGGGAAGGAAAATGGCAAATTTAGCGATTGAGAGAGCAAGAGTACTTTATTCCTACTGGTCCAAACGTTATTAAAAAACCATAGGGTGTAGCCGAAATATATCTATATTTTCTATATTTTTATTTTTCTTGCAGCAGAGGCTTCCCGATTTGTTGAAGCGGGCAGGGAATCTATCACAGAACTAAGTATTTTCGCGTAGTGGGCGAAAAGAAGAGGCAAAGTAAGGAACTTGCAAGCTGCGAAGTAAAAGCTCAACACTATGATCGCCCAACTTTTTTCGCTCGGTTGACTGAGAAGAAAAATAGAGTACGAACCTGACTCGTTGAAAGTCACGAAAGTAGCTATAGATTCCTGTTTATTTAAAATCGATCGAGAGAGAAAAAAGTTTCTTTCGTTGAGAAAAGTCCGAGAAGGAAAAGCAGAGAGGTTTCGAGAGCTCGGAGTACTGGGAAACAACCAATCAGAGCTGGGAGTACTGGGAAACGACCAATCAGAGCTCGGAGTACTGGGAAACGACCAATCAGTGCTCAGAGTACTGAGAAAGGACCAATCAGAGCTCGGAGTACCGGGACACGGCCAATCAGAGCTCGGAGTACTGGAAAACGACCAATCAGAGCTCGGAGGCCGAATAGCGACCACCTATTCTTACTGAATGAGCATCGCACGTAGTCCGAGCGAGAATAAATATTCTTTCAAAAGCTTTCAATGAGTGCGATGAACAAGTAGTTGCAAGTACCATCCTGTAATTATGGATTATTTTCACTCATAAACCATGTTCTACAAACTGCCCTCGTCAACTTTGCGACTCGAGCAATTCTGTAAGAACTTTGAAAATAAGCGCGAAAGTAATCCTTAGCAGCCTCAGGCCCAAGCTAGAAAATACAGGTTAGCAATGAAAAATCTTACCCCATCTCCCTTCCATTAAGGTGGATCTCCAGTGTCGCGTAGGTTTTTCCGTACTTAAAACGAGCGTAAAGAAAACGTGCATGAGCAAATTCCATTGCCACGCAAAATTGAACACTGCGCGTTTTATGTTTTATTGTTACGTGCGAATTCGCAGGCCCATGCGCAAAAGTTGAAGGCTGCTCAACTTTTCTCTGTTTTTTCGTGATTGAAACGTGCGTTAAGACGTACGTATACGCCTCAGAAAAAAAAAAAAAACCTGCCGGCGTCAGGAAGTGGAAATATGACAATGTTTAGTCAAGGGATGTGTTTACGCACGTAAACGTTCATTTCAGCATACGTAGAATTTTTTTTTAAGCACGTTGAAGTGCGTGGACAGGAACATGACAGCGAAAAACCCAGTTAAGAAACGTTTACTTGAGTACAGGGGGTAACCATTGCCACCTGTGTCATTTCAAAAAATAGTTTTCACGTGACGTCATCAGAATTAAAAAAAAATAAGGAATTATCATTTCTCTTGAGATTTTAATCTAGTTATTTATTGGAACATCTCAAGACTTATCTTTTTACAAATTTTCAGTTTGATAGGGTTTCTCGTCTTGTGATAAAGCAAAGTTGAATTTCTGTGCTTTTAGTGTGACACGGTATTAAAATGGAGGCCAAGAACGCTGTCACGCAGGTTGAAAAAAAGGACTTATCCGCTGAGATTACGCAATCTGAACAGCTTAACAGTCCGCCTTGTGTAAAAATAAGTGCTCATCTGAGATATTTATGAGCCCTCAGAAGGCGACTGAAAGCTTTTCACACACACATGACGTGTCCATAGGAAGCCTCGTGAATTTGAGTAAAACATTTCTCAGTTCGAATATCTCCCGCGCGAAACACCGGCACATACCTGAATCGTTGCGAGACTGTTTGAAGAATATTCATCTTCTTTTATCTTTTTGATTTTTGACTTTATTTATTGAATGCTTTTTATGATGATGCGACAGCAGAATGTAAGACGAGTCATATCGTAATATCAGACATTATGTAACAATTTTTGGCATGTTTACAACCTTGACACTTCCAATAGATTTACCGGGTGTTTTCTACTCAGAAGATCACGCGTCAAAAATATGCTTGAGCTCCAGAGCTACTTTGTGCCGAAACAAAATATCAGACATCATTTTTTTTTTTTTTCACTCCTGTTCGCGTGCTGTTTTCATGTTGCCTATTAACATTTGCTTTTTAATTCGACCGCATCGCTTTTTGAAAAATAAATTATAAAAAATTATAATCACAATATAAGAAATTCATGAAAGGTGGCGGTTTGAGGCTTAAACTAACCACGACTCAAGCTTTGTTGAAACATAGATCAACCTTCTCGAAGTTGTAATCAATCGCACGTAGTCTATCTCCCGAGGGAAGATAGTATTTCAAGTCAGTCGTCCGCGGAAAAAGGAGAGTCCGTATGAACTTCAATTACGAAATGAAAAGGTTTTTCAAATGAAACAAATTTGATGTGATCATTCGAATCGAAGCAAAAACAAGGTAAATGCCGAATGTAAATCATCATAATAATACCCCACAACGTGCTCAGTTGGAGGGTCGTTAAGAATCAATGTGTTTGTTGCGTGATCCAACCTGTGCTCAATATTTCAGCAGTCTAAAAACCAAATAAATTGTTTTTTCGACAATAACTACCATTATCATTATCACATTTTCGGGCTAAAACGACTCAGAGTCGGGCCTTAAATATATTCATGCCCGCGAAACATAAGTTCTCTTGTTTCAGTGACAAAGTACATGTAAATTCATAGACATAAACAACGTAATAACAACTGACAGTAGGTTGTTGTCAATGTTCAGTCGACTCGAGCCGTTCGGGTTTGTTTCGTACAACGTAACCATCGTACCTTCCACGGTCTTCTCAACCTGTGTACAAGTTGTTGCCGTCACAATCGTGATGTTGTAACTGGCGAGGGTTACAACTTCGAAGTCTTGATCCTTGATGTCTTCCAGCGATAGTGTCTTGTCGACTCCGTGTAGTGTTTTCGTTTCTCCATTTTTGTACTTCACTGTAGTTTTCAAGTCGACCAAATTGTCATCGATTCCTTCCTTCGTAGTTTGACTCCCGGCAAGTTCATTCAAACACAAATTTCCTGAGTCATCCAGCAGTCTTTCTTTCTCAAGTGTTACTCTCACAGCTCTTTTTTTCGGGATGGAGACATAACTCCTATACATTGGATATCCCTGCCGATACACTGGGGCGCTGCTGAACGCGTAGCGGGTCACCAAATAGGCAGCGACAGCTCTCTTGAACGTGCTTGAACGCGAACCCAGTTTAGTTTGTTTGACAATCACCGGGGAGCGAACTGAGGTGGCTTTGATCGGTGTGTATTTGGTGATTTTAGGTTTTGAGCTAGACCCTCTTGACCTAGATCTCGATCGACTGGATCTGGAGGATCTGGAGCCTCTTGAGCCTCCTGATCTGCCTCCACCACCACGTCCTCTTGTTTCTGATAATTCTACCATCGCCATAAGAACGATGGAAACAAGTAACACCGTAGTTAATCGCATCTTGTCGAACAATAACGACGAGTAAAACTGGTATTCAAGTCAATTCCTCTTCCAAACTTCATTAAAAATTGTGTCTGTGTGTAAGTAGGACGTATTCTCAATCACTTACCAATGGTATCCTCCGTATTACGTACGTGATGTAGTTCACTTACTTTTAAAAAAATTTGACCGAGGTCATTACAAGCTCTCAGCCATTATGCCCTCAGCTCGATTAATTTGTCAATCAATTCTAGAGGCCATTTCCGGATTATCCTTGCACCTCTTTTTCAAAACGAGGCCTGGTGCTTTAACATTCAGATGAGAACTTACAGTCATATGAAAGGATGAGAATTAGGACTCGCGTTGAAAATGAGGCATAAGGCAATTTGGAAATGAGCTATCAGGTCAAAGCGAATGTTTGCTTACCTTGCTTCCAGGTTCTCCTCTTTTGCTGATCCTGCGACAGAAGAATAACAACAAAGGCCATTGTTCAGAGTTTGAGTCGTTTTTGAGGAGCAACCAAATCTGACTTAAAACCTTACGTTTGTATTCAAAACGTTTTGACGCGCAAGTTGTGTCACAGGCAAGAGAGTGAGGCAAATGATGATGTGCATACTTGAATTATGTGGATTTTTCAAATAAACATTACAAAAACGAAGAAAGGCAATTATAACATAACCAAAGTAAAGCGCGCGCTCTGATTGGTCAATTAGGGTCCTCCATTTGCACATGGATGTACGCTGCTGACGTGAGCAAATGCAAAGACTATCTTTTCACCCTTGCTTGTTTCTTCTGGTCACGTAAGTTTTGTTAAATAAAAGGGAACTCTTTAGCTACAATGTATCAATGTTATGTTATAAAACAAATGGTAAACACCACAGCGTACACTATTGAGTTATGGATGCACTTGGGAGGTTTGCTAAGCACTCAAGAAGCTAGAGTCGCTCTCGGCTATCGCCTCGAGCGACTCTTACGCTTCTTTCGTGCTTAGCAACCTCCCGCGTGCATCCATAACTCAATAGTGTACGCTGTGGTGTTTACCATTTGTTAAATATATTTTTTGTAAGCACTACTCCCAAATGACTTTCCCCGATAAAACAGCTGATACTTGTATCGTAGGCTGCACCGAACGACATCCAGAGGCTATGGACCGCAATTGACCGTCGTATCCAAGCGTTGAAACGTGGTGAAAACACCCAAACTAATGAAGAAACCAGCGTCCAAGGGACCAATGCAGATGACGAGGAGGAGACTAGGACCGAGCCAGATGACGAGATTAAAAGCACCGGACACGAAGACGACGATGAACCCGTCAAAGATCGATGTGAAGTTCCGGATAAAAACAGCAATGATTCGTGTCCGACGGGGGAGGGAAGGGGGAAAGAAACAGTCGCTGATGATGATTAAATATTTGTACACGTTCGTGGCTGTCTTACCTGAAATATCTGTTACGCTCTGGAGCCTTGTAGCTTTAATTCAGGATATGAAATTGTCCTACACGCACTGGAAATGTCACCTTGTGCTTTCAATGATCGACAACGAAACTGTTGCGTTGTTTGTTATTTTGATGTTTCCCAGAAGTCAAGGAGCTGCCGCTAGATTGTTTTTCTTGTTTCCTTTCGTGATCAAGTGGTGTATTCATGCAACAAGTTGTGGCGTGGCATTCCAGCTGCAAATGAAAAGACAACAGACAAGGGCCAAATAATTCCTGGTNGTATAGGGACTTTAAGAAACCACGACGGCGACGCCAAGGAAGACTTCGATTAAAAAATGAATTTCTACTCTTAGTTAGAATTTCAAAAATGGCTGCAGGAGCTTACTGTCTCATACAGCGCCACAGCTCAACTTCAGCATGACGTATAAAGTAGCCGTTGAGTTCCAAATGGAAATTAAAATAATTTGCCGTCGCGGTTTCGGTTCGCAGACGACGCAAATTTTGGCGATTTCACGTTGTTGTTTTGCATAGGACGGCTAAGAAATGTACAAAGTTTCAAAACGCACGTGCTGAGCTATTGTTCTGCCAATTAGATCTCTTGTTTTTCCTCGTCCTCGTTGCCCTCGCCGTCGTGGTTTCTTAAGGTCCCTATTAAGGCTTTCTATACGGCAGAGCTTTGCACCTAATTGATCGATCCACCTCGCTTTATAGAAAATGTTTGGACAAGGCGGGGAGGGGAGGGAGAGTTTGAGTGATGTCTCACCTCATTACATTCTTAAAGAAAATTCGCTCAAGAAGCTGAGAAATAAAATTTGCTTTCTATTCGCTGCATTATAACAAAAAGTCTGCAAAGATGTTATTTAGGGGCTCTAAAGACATCGAGCTGAGATGCTAAGCAGTACATTGAATAACTTGAAGGGGGCAAATTTCTAAACAAACTATGGGGATTTGGTTTTATCACCTGTAATGAAGATGCAAATGTTCCACCGTAAAATTTCGAAACCTGACTTTTTGAGCATAAGCCCTTTGCTTTGACGAAAGGTACACTTGAAAAGTCAGCTGTAGAAACTCTCTGCAGTATATATAATGGCTCCTGAAAGTGTTCAACATACATCATTGACTCAGTTGATAAAACCAAATTACGCGGTGAACTGAATCGGCTCTTTATCTACCGACCTATTTTCGCAGACAGCAACAAATAGAAATTCCGTCATGGTAAATAACTTGCAACGTAATCAATATCAGTCGCGCATAGGTTTTCTTAGGCCAACAAAATTTTGTTAAACAGCAAATACAAACGCCCTATGAAGTTTGTATCTACAAAATAGGAACTTCTTTATTAACTATGGATTAAGTGTCATCGGTAACAATGCAGCAAACACAAACAAAATGCAAATTTAGCTTTACTAGCTGAAACTCATTATATTCAACAACATATGAAATTATCTGATGGCGTGGCTTGATAAAATTGATATTTTTTTATGTAAATACCAAGTTCTATATGCAAGCCACTTTGCGAGTGATATGAGAAGCATCTAACTCATATTGGTGATTTCTCAAATACAAATGACGTTCTAAATAGACTGCCCGTACAATGCTATCTATTGGTGACGAAATCTGTTGATTATTGCAAACGACGCAAACAAAATTGAAAGGAGCTTCTTATTTATGTTCAGTTGGCTCGAGCCGTTAGGGTTTGTCTCGTAGAGTGTAACCATCGTGCCTTCGACGGTCTTTTCCACGTGTGTACAAGTTGTTCCTGTGACAATCGTGATGTTGTATTTGGCGAGGCTTGTAACTCTGACTTCTTGATCCTTGACGTCTTCCAGCGACAGTGTGTTGTTAACTCCGTGTAGTGTTTTCGTTTCTCTATTTTTGCACTTCACAGTAGTATTCAAGTAAACCAAATTGTCGTCAATTCTTTCCTTCATGGTTTGATTCCCCGCTGTTATCTTTAAACACAATTTTCCTTCGTTATCCAACAATCTCTCGCTTTCGTAGATCACCCTCACAGCTCTTTCCTCTGGGATAAAGACATAACTCTGGTACATTGGATATCCCTACCAATACACTGGGGCGCAGCTGAACGCGTAGCGGGTCACTAAATGGGCAAAGACGGCCCTCTCGAATGTGCTTGAACGCGAACCCAGTTTAGTTTATGCCACAATCACTGGGAGTGAACTGAGGTGGCTTTGATCGGTGTGTTTTGGGTGATTTTAGGTTTTGAGCTAGACCCTCCGGAGCTCCCTCTCGTTCTACTGGTTCTGGAGCTTCTAGAGCCTCCTGATCTACTTCTTGTTTCGGATAATTCCACCATCGAAATAAAAACAAAGGCAACAAGAAATACTGTGGTTAATCGCATCTTTGTGGACTTCGGTGTGAAAGCCAGATCTTCTTTTGATTTTCCCTTCACTGTTTTGCAAGTTAATTACGTTTGACGCAGGAAAAATAACCGTTGCGTGAAACGCGTGGGTAGCAACCACTTAAACAAGTCAGTGTTCATACGAGCTGCTAATCTCCGCAAATAAGATTTGACGAACAATTTTTGAAGCAAACTGCAGAAGACGTGTAACAAGTTTCAAGTAGCAGCCCAGTCAGTTGTTATAGCTTGTGCTACAGAGCAAGGTTTGATTAGCCAACGTGGAAATTACAACTAAATGATGGACTGGAAGCTAATCTCGTCGACATCGTAACTCGAAAACGTTTCCTTTCAACAGGTCGCCGACTTCTGTGGTTTATCGGAGTATCAGCCGCTATATCAAAACGTTCATCAACTGAAATGACTTCGAATAGGTTTTGCTCTATATCTGCGCGCAAGATGAAATATTCGTGAAAAAACCCCTTCAACAAATGAATCAATTGATAAATGAATAAAATAATAATGAAAAAAAAAACAGTTACAACATGAAATTTTTTAAATTAGATTTAACAGTTTTGATTTCGAACCTGCCTTACCCACATGCTCAACTCCAAAATCTCTCAGTCAACAAGATCAAAACTAGTATATTGACATCCCTGTTATGGCCGAGGTGCGTTAGCAAGGAATTGGAGCATGGATACCTATGACAGGTAAAATAAAAGCTGAAACGCCGGAGCCTAATACTTATGATACGTACCCAAAGGGCCAAAAAAGTCTTTAACTATCTTAACGAAATTGATGATAAAGATTTTTTTGGATTTTGGTGCTTTAGTCCATTGAGACCGCTGCAATTTCAAATGTAAACTTTTGTGATTTTACTGTATTGGCTCTAAACTATGAATAAGGATTCCTATAATTTCCTCACGTTCAGTAAATCTTGACAGATATCCATATTGGAAAAAAAAAAGTTAAAGTGTCAATCTATCAATAACCTAAGTTATTTTAATACGTAAAAGTAAATAAAAAACCTTGGGCTCGTTGTCATACAAAATATTCTAGTTCTGTAATCAAATCGCAAGGTAACGAAAACTGGACAATATCTTTATTATTGGCTTGGTATTGGTGAGAATAATGACGATGATGATGGTCATGATTATTGTTGATTTAATACAACTTTTATCACTATTTCCATTGTTGTTTCTGTTGTTTTTGGAAATATTGTTTGACTTCGATGAATCAATAAGTAGTTCTTGACCTTGGAATGAGCAGGCTCTTAGCGAAATGGACCGCATCACTTTGTCTCCTTGATCGAAGGCAGCTTAGGTATAGATTACGTTAAGGAAAATAACTTGAAACGTCATCAATTAACAAATGGTAAACACCACAGCGTACACTATTCAGTTATGGATGCACGCGGGAGGTTGCTAAGCACGAAAGAAGCGTAAGAGTCGCTCGAGGCGATAGCCGAGAGCGACTCTAGCTTCTTGAGTGCTTAGCAAACCTCCCAAGTGCATCCATAACTCAATAGTGTACGGTGTGGTGTTTACCATTTGTTTTATAACTTAACATTGATACATTGTAGCTAAAGAGTTCCCTTTTATTTAACAAATCTTACGTGACCAGAAAAAACAAGCGCGTGCAAAATAGTCTTTGCATTTGCTCACGTCAGCAGCGTACACCCATGGGCAAATGGGGGACGCTAAATTGACCAATCAGAGCGCGCGCTTTACTTTGGTTATGTTATAATATCAATTGTACATGTGTTTTCTCACGCGAGCAGATCCGGCATATTTTTTCAATCTTTACCGGATAAATTTGAAAGTCCTACATAAATGCTACTTGAAAATGACAATCCCTCACCGACTATGACTTTAATGCCACTGGTAACATAACACTGATTTCAGCAAAAACAACAAGAATATATATTTAAAATACCTACATGTGAATCATATCCTACAACAACTTAATCCTTGCGAAAATGGCGACCGCATATAGTCATTTAGTTCAACCAAACTAACTTGCTTGAAAAAAGCTTAAAGATGCTTCATGGACTGAACTACGAATAACGAAATGTATTGATAAACACAAACAAAGTGATTACAAATGATAGTAGCTTTTTGCTGATATTCAGTTGACTCGAGCCGTTCGGATTTGTCTCGTACAGGGTAACCATCGTGCCTTTGACGGTCTTTTCCACCATTGTACAAGTTGTTCCAGGAACAATCGAGATGTTGTATCGAGCAAGACTTACAACTTCGAAGTCTTGATCTTTGATGTCTTCCAGCGACAGTGTGTTGTAGACTCCGTGTAGTGTTTTCGTTTCCCCATTTTTGTACTTAACTGTAGTATTCAAGTCAACCAAGTTGTCGTCGATTTCTTCCTTTATAGTTTGACTCCTTGCTGATGCCAAACACAACTTTCCTTCGTCATCTAACAATCTCTCTCTTTCGTAGGTCACCCTCACAGCTCTTTCCTCTGGGATAGAGACATAACTCCGGTACATTGGATATCCCTGCCGATACACTGGGGCGCTGCTGAACGCGTAATGGGTCACCAAATAGGCAAAGACTACTTTCTTAAACGTGCTCGAACGCAAACCCGGCTTAGTTTGTGACACAATAACCGGGGAGCGAGCTGAGGTGGCTTTGATTGGTGTGTTTTTGGTGATTTTAGGTTTTGAGCTAGACCCTCCGGAGCTTCCTCTCGATCGACTGGATCTGAAGCCTCCTGATCTACCTCCACCACGTCCTCTTGTTTCGGATAATTCCACCATAACCATAAGAACGACGGTAACAAGAAGCACTACAGCGATTCTCATCTTTGCTGACATCGACAATAATGATCGGGGTTAAAATCAGTTTTCTCGTCGATCTTTCCTTCACCGAGTTCACAACCTCCTGCAAACAAAATTTGGCAAATCGTGTATATGCTTGAAACATTAACCAACAAAAGAAATGTATCAGCTCATGAATTAGCTAACATGCTAGAGATGGTAACACAGATTGTAGGCTGTTAACTAGCTTACCTGGATTCCTTATGTCAAAAAAACAGTGATAGGAGGAACAAATGACTTAGATAAACTACGACTTACTCTAAATTTATAGAGAATCAAACAAGGAAAAAAACTCTTATGGTGTTATTGTCGTCATCAAAATATACCCACTTATAGAACAGAATTACCTCATAATGTGAAATCCCATGCTTTCGATAGTTCTGAAAGGAAATATGTCAGTCTCTCAAGATCTGTGACTTCTCAGACATACAAAATAACTATAGTGCAAAATTATCAACACCCTGAGTTTTATAAGGTAAAGTGAACGTCTAACCCAACAGTGCGTACTGTCTGTGAAACCTATCAATGCAAAACAGTTTGAAACCAGTTTTTCTATCAAATCATTATTTTCTTGAAGCGCAAGATCATTATTTTCTTGAAGCGCAAGATCAATACTGGATGACACCCATCTGTTTCACGCTGTGACGGACGTGATTTTACTAGCACGTAGAGTGGATAGAAATGTTTGTTAGTGCGGAAAAACAGGTGAATAGCAGTTGTACTTTTTCCGCTAAAAAAGTCGAAAATATTTATTACGGTGTACCTAGTAAAAATCCGCCAGGAAACACTCGTATGCACAAATCTATGACGTAGCCGCGCTCTGAAACTCGCTTAAAGACAATTTAGCTTCATCAACGGATATGATGATGCAAATTTGCCACGAAGCGTTACTGAAACGTCAACTTGAGAAACTCTTTACAGTGTCAGGAGCCCATTAGGTAATGGGCTTCTGAGTGTCCAGTATACATCATTAACTCATTTGATAAAACCAAATTGCGCAGTGAATCATTAGGTCGGTTCTTCATCTCTCGGCCACTTTTCGTAGGCAGCCAGAAATAGAAATTCCGTCGTAGAAAATAACTTGCAACGTCATCAGTATCAGTCGCTCACAGATTTTCTCGCGCGATCAAAATCATCGGTTTATTCAGCAAACTCAAACTTTCTCCTAGGGTTGTATCTATAAAATGTGACCCTCCACAGGATTTCCAGCATAATGGTGATGACACGGGCACACTATTTTAGCACGGTACACAAAAGAAATTTTCGTTAACACAGTAGCAGCGTGTCACAATGCACTCCTGATTAAAATTTCCTTTGTTCCATATAAACAATGAACCGTCTTCAGGTTAAACAAAGAAGCGTGTTAAAGGGAGTGAAAACAAAAGCCGTGTTATGCCGTGTCATATTGCACTCTGGTGTGTGAAATATCCCGCGTGTTAAATAATACCCATGTCAGATCAAAACATCTGTAAGAGATTGCACGTGCGAAAAATTATCCTATCTCCATTAAAGCAAAACCTGCATTCGTAACTTATTTTCATCATCGAATCACTGACTCATGTTGTAAACTTCACCTGTTATCTTCCAATGAATCAAGATTTGTCACACGAAACCCATTTTTCTTTTCTCAAAA